AGCCAGTTAAATGGGCTCAGGTGTCAAATAGGTTCCCACTGCAGAGCCCAGTTTTATTATTAGATTTCCATCCCTCTCCTTTCCCCCCAAACGTGACCATCACAAACACCAGGTCATAAAGTTTCTCTAAAAATAGCACATTATGACTTGTACTGCTTTACTGAAGAGGGCCTCACTTTGTCCCAGACGCTGAGCTGGATGCGCTATGGAGATGATTCGCTCATTTCATCCTCTCCACGACCTGCGGGTTAGTCAGTTACTTTCCCCTGTTTATCAGTCAAGGAAACTGGGGTCCACCTGCCCAGGAAGTAAAACCTAGGTTTTTCCAACTCTGGAATCAGAATGCTCTGAGTCATCAGACTCTACTTCCAGCCCCACTGTTGCATACTCATTCACTCAGTCATTCACCTGATGTTTACCGAGGACCTCAGATATCGGCTGAGGAACGCACAGTGATGAATCAAAACAGACATGCCTCTGCCTTCCAGGAGCTCACAGTCTAACCCAGGGAGAGAACACACCCAGATCTGGTTTGATGCTTGGGGCTGGCAAACTATGGGATTTCGGGCAAGTCTGTTCTACTCTGTTAGCCTCAGATTTCATATCTGTAAGTGAGGCAGCTGGATTTTGACAAGTGCTTTTCCACCTTTGTTGTGAATCGAAATCACATGGGAAATGTGTTTAAAAATCTATCTTCCTGGCCTCTTGTGCCCAGGTACTTTGATTTAATGATACAGCCCAGGAATTTATATCTCTAATGAGGGTTCCGTGTGCCCAGAACCACCGTATGAGAGGGACTGATCTGGCTGTCAACCCCATTAGTGCCTACATGGGATCTGTGTTGTCACATCTGTACCCCCAGTGCCTAGCACAGTGCCTGGCACAGAGGAGGTCTTGATAAACATTGGGGATAGTTTGAATGATCTATCTGTGGGGTTTCCATGGATGAACCTCAGAGATTCCTGACCGCAATTTCTGGATAGGATTCCAAAGGCCCTTTGGGCTCTGAACGCTCTGTGATTTTAGGATTGAAACCAATTCTTTCTCTTACCCAAAGCTCAGACCTATTATTAGAAATCTTTTTAACCTTTATAGTAAAACTTGAGTCCTATATCAAAGTGATTTGATGAGATGATGTCAATTTACAGTATATTTGTAAAATCCTAAGGGAATTGGTACTCACATTCTCTGTATAAATTCTGAGAGTGCTCCTGATGTGCAGTTTGTGAGTTTCTCGGTTTATCTGACAGTACCTTTGGGGCAGGTAGTGCTGTCTCCATTTTGCAGGTAGGAAAATCGGGATGCCAGTGACTCTTGTAGCTTGTCCAAGGTCACACTGCGAGGACTCTGTCCACTCAGAATCAGCCTGGGAGTCCAAGAACATGGCTTTCATCCTCTGGCCTGCTTGTGTGGCCTGGGTTGGGTAGCTTGGCCTCTTCGAACCTCAGTTTCCCCATCTATGAGATGGGAGAGGGGTGGGCTAGTTGTTTCTGAGCAGCTGCTTAGGTGGGATATTTGCAGACCCCCTACTAACTACATGCTCAGGCATGCAGAAGGCCTGTGTCAGCAGACTCCGAAGTCCTCTTCATCTAGGAAAGAGGTAAGAACTAATGAGACCACATAAAACAGGCCATGTCTGCAAATGACTCCAGAGGGACATACATCACTAAGGCAAAGGCAGCGAGGTGGTAGATGCCATCAGAAAAAAAAATTCCTAGAATTTTGGAACCTTAGTTCTCTACTCTGTTAGTTCAACAATTCACTGTTCATTCTGAGAACGAGATTCAAGGGAGTTCACTTCTCTGTAGTCACAACTGTGGGATTCATTCCTGTGCCCCATTCTCAGCAGCGCAGGAAGAATTTCATGAGCATATGGAGGAAACAGTGTCCCTCCTGGAATCTTAGACTCTTGAAATGTCCTTTTAAAGATCGCCTAACCCTTGCCACTCCAAATGTCCTTTGGGGATCAGTGTCAGTGGCATCATGTGGGAGCTTGTTAGAAAAGCAGATTCTCAGGCTCCAGACTTCCTATATCAGAATCTGTGCTTAACAAGCTCCTCACATGTTTGTACTCCGCATGATGATCTGAGAAGCGCTGGCCCTAACCTAGCAATTGACTCCCCTCCTTCACATTCTGAAGAACTGGCGAGCATCCTCTTCCTGGTTTCCTCTAGTGCTTTCTTCCAAGTGGCTGTTTCATCCTAACACCAAGCCAACTTTTGGAATTTCTTCTCTATCTAAGCTAACCTCTCAGTCATTCAGTAACTTCTGCCCTTGGTACTCACTCTAGCCTCGGCACCTCACAGAACAACATAAATCCTCCTGTGTCCCCCATGGTCTCTCATCTCCTAGCCCTTGTACAATACAGTTTCTAATCTTCTTCATCCGGAATACGAATCTGTATGCACATTGCAAGCTCACTGGGGCCAGGCAAGTAACACAAATGAGAGATGAGAGCCAGGTGAAAGGCACTAAGGAATGATGGGGACTGTGACAAACTGGAGGGCCATGTGCTGTCTAGCAGGCCAGCTGCTGTTGCTGGCCCAGCTCAGTCAGAGCATTGACATGTCTTCTGAGTTTTCAAGAGAAGCCAAAAATCTTGATTAAAACAAACAAAAAACTTTATGTTTTCATGCTGGCAATTAAAAAAAATCCTCAAAAGCCACAATATTAAAAAAAATCCATGATATTGTGTTTACTGTGATCACATCTAAAGTTTATGTGACCTTTAATGAGTAATATCTGCTCAGCTTGAGTACAAGAGCCCAGATGTGGCCTGACCAGCACACAACAGGCAGGATTTTGACCTCCATCATTCTAGACTAGTAATTCTCAAACTGGCGTGTGCATCAGAGCATCTCAGAGGACTTGTTAAAACTCAAATCCTGAGCCCCACCCCGGAGTTTCCACTGCTGCTTCTTGGGTGGGGCCCAGGAATCAGCATTGCCAACAAGTTCCCAGCTAGGCTGGGTGGTGCTCGTTCACAGTTTGGACACTTTAGA